TGCATTAATGCTTCTGTGACACTTTAATTCCAGTAAATGTATCAAACTGGATAAACTCAGATCTAATAAGGTCCTGCAGAATAAAACACAATACCAGCATGCTTCAGCGTTTAACCCTCTAAAATCTGCCAAATAAAAAAATAAAAAAATCTTTTGTTGATGGGTGAAATCGCCAGCAGACAGAAGTAATAAATAACACCGTGAACGCAGCGCACGACTGAGTCTTTCTGCACTCGATTACTTCTTCCACCCATTTGCGGATCTCGCCGGCTAAATCCAGCCCCCCCTCCCCAAAAAAAAATATTACAAGGGGGAAAAAAAATAAATAAATAAAAACACGAAGCCGAAATACGGTTATCTGCTTCAATCCGCCTCCTTTAAACGTGCACAAAGCGGGTCGTCTGGTGGAAAAATGTCGAGTCTCCGTGAGCACTACGTTCGCCTGCGCTCCGTCTGTGCGTCTGCATGAAGCCTGCAGCAGCACCCAGAAGTGAACAAAGCGACCCGGAAGCGGTGGTCCGACTGGAGGCAGAAAGAACATCAACCTTTTATATTATAGCTGTACTCGCAAGACAATATCTGCAAGCAGGACACCAGGTATTTGTGCACGTCTTTATCCTCTTTTCGCCGCCGTGCATTTCTCCCATCGGCGCTATCCTCCCGGATGCGTGCATTGTGCACAAAATTGCAATTTCTGCCCTCCAAAAGTTACAGAATGTGGAGGAGGAGGAGGAGAGAGAGGGAGAGAGAGAGAGAGGAAGAGGGAAAGAAAAAAAAAAAAAAGAAGAAGCAGCCGTAAAAGTGAAATTTGCTGAAGATGGCACAGCGTCTTTCTGGGCAGATGAGGCTTTGTGCGCCGGTTCTGTTTTGACCTTAACGCATCGGTTCGGTTGGTTTAATCGGTGTAATGAGGCGAGCTGCTCCGATTTCCGTGCAGTTTTTGTGTGTGTATGTGTATGTGTGTGTGTGTGTGTGTGTGCAGGGCATGGTTGTTGTAGGAAGTGTCAGTTTTTTTAAGAGGTGGGGAGGCCGGGCTATTCAAACCTGCATTTCGCCGTAAACAATCATTCATGCCTTTGACATGATAAACACACCTTTGTGTTTGCGTCTCCTCCACAGCAGCACTCCCTCACGACAAACATGCTCCTAAAAAATTTTTTTTGGGGGTCTGCAGAATATGGCGTCCCGCCTTATAAAAATAAGGCTGCCATTTTTGTTTCTCTTTTGTCTGGAAATGTTTTAAAGAAAACTGTCTGAGAATGTCTGAGGCGCACCGGGAGCCTCGAATCCGCCTCGATCCTCCGTCGGTGCGCGTCCGGAGGAGCAGCCAGACAGCAGACATGTCCGAAAAAAAAGTCAAAGAAGGGAAAGTTTCTCCCTTTTTTTTTTTTTTTTTCCTTCTTCATTGCGTTGGTGTGAATTTTTTAAAGCGACGTCCACTTATTTTTTTTTTTTTTTCAGGAATTCAGACAAAAGGAGCAGAGCAGCTTCCTGTGCCGGCAGACCGGCTCAGGCTCTCCTCGGTTTTTATCGCCACATATTTCTGGGTGACATTTAAAAAGACAAAACAAAAGCTTTGAGGTTCTGTGTTTATTTAAAAGGTGCCACTTTTGGCTGCAGGTCTCATTTAGACACACTGAGGTGTAATAATACATGCAACATGGCAAGTTTTGACTCTAATAACCCACTTTGACTTTATTTATTTTCATTTTTACGCATTTATTTTATCTTCAAGGTGACTTCAAGCTGTTAAAAATATCCCAAATTCCTCCACCTTCTTCAGAGGATGGCTTGCTTGTAGAAAGCCAGACTAATACTGGATTTTAGGGGCATAAATGTTCCAATATTGATATATTGACTGATATTGATTCTATACAAACAGAGCTGGGCGATAAAGCTGAAAAGTCTGTCACTATAAAATGTTTTAATTCAGTAACTACAAACGATAATTGACTGTAACAGTGAAGGCTTATATATAAAATTACATGGATAGGTGTGGTACTAGAAGCCTCCTATATAATAAATAAGAACAAAAGCTGTTTCATACCCACAAGGACAGAACACATTCTGAATTCAAAAGCCTTTTATGCATAATTCTGCTGACTGTTTATACGTGTTACTGTGCAGAATTGTGAGGTTATACATATAATACTACATTGTATCCAGTATATATTACAGTACTTGTAATATATTACAAAAAAAGGCTATTTCTATATATTGTTTTCCCAAACAAATACTTTTAAATGATTGATTTAGTGAACTTCAGGACTGCCCAAATATTGTTAAAGGCAAATATTTCGGGAGTAACCCTGATAACGAACAATGAAACTATGAATAAAGAGGAAATTCAAATGTTTAAAGGTTGTTTGCACCATGAGGAGTAGATGTTGTTCAGTTTATCAGGTGGAATAGTCCGGACAACGATCTCAGAATGAGTAAAACAATTAAAGATAATGCACAGACATGGATCAGTGAAGGTGTTCTTGGGGTTTCTTAAGATGCATATAAGGTTTGGAGCAAATAGGAAACAATAAGATATGGAGATGTAGCAGGTAGGAGCTAATATGGAAACTTCATCCTTTCAGATATTAATTTAAGCTTTTTGGTTTCTTTTCATTTTGTGTGATCTATTTTTGTGCCTGAATCTGAAATAAATCCATAAATGAAATATTCTGAACAAAGGCCAGAAGTGAAAAAGATTTATTTTGAAGTTATCCACCGCCTTTAAATGTAACTACTTCCACCGGTTTAATAGGTTTAATGTTAACACAACACACATGGTAAAAATGGCTGACTTTGGCCTGGTATCACCAGACGAGGATCCCGACATAGAGTCTGTCAGCCGGTAGCGCATCGCTTAGCTGGAGGTGGTAGGACACGCAGTGTTATGGGGGTTTCAGACCGCAAAGTCTGCAAGCTCCTGGCAGCCGCGGCCTCCACCACGGGAGGTCTGCAGGCATGGACAAGAGGCCCAGACGGCCACAGACTAGCACACCTCAGGAGGCCTGCATGGCAGTGATAGAGGGCGAAGGGCTCCATTATTAAGTTATGACAGGCTTCTTATGAGCCAGAGCTTGTTAATGAAACTAAATTTTGCATTTCTATTTTTTTTTTCTGCTGCAATTTGCATCTGATGCATTGAAGTGAAACAATCAAACATCCTGTGGAACAATTTTCTCACAGCTATTGATGAATCGTCTTTAGCCGCTACTACAGAAATCGTTTAATCGCTCAGGCCTGTATGTGCATCAGTGGAGTCATTGTTTAACTTTCCTGCAATGCATTTTCACAAACTAGTTAGCAGCTGACGATGACGATACCGCTTGTTGCTGCACCACCGTCTGCTCAGTGCAATGCAGGCTCTGCTACATGTGCTGCACACAATTTCTAAATGACCCCGAGCATCTCTGGCTCAATGATGTTCTGGAAAACGTTTTCATGTCAGCACATATATCTAGGATAGGCCAACACCAGGTGATAATATTAGCTTACTGATGTACTGGGTGTATAATTGGGCTCTCCTCTAGTCTAGTCAGTTGCAAACCCACCCTGAGGAAGACTACAATGTGCTTGAAAGGTGGTGACATCTAGCAACCTTGAGTTAAACTGTCAAACTATATGTTTTCAAGGTCAAGAATCAACCATCAAGCCGAATGTTACATTCAAAGCTACACATTTTGAAATATCACCATAAAAGTCATTATATTATCTTTGCTTTTAATGATTTTTTTCTCAGTATAACCACAAGCTTTTGAAGGTTAATTAGAAACCACAAGACAACATAACATTTATTTAAATCACAGCTTAATGCCTACTGCGGTGGCCTGTGGGTGAATGCAAGCTGGAATGACCCAAACTATACTTTACAGGAAATCAGATGTCAAAACAAAGGTGGAATAGCTCAAACCTTTAGATGCATGTGGATGACTTTCTTAACAGAATATCTCCTTTTAAGACAAGTGGACCACTGAGCTTGTGAAACTATGCGGTTAAGCTTAGAAGTAGGCGCAAAGTTAGATAAACGAAGGAAACGAATGGAATGAGTGTGTTAACTTGGGCCTGTTTGGTTTCTAATTTCCACAGATTAGGCCTCTCTGCGGACTGGTTTTGTTCTGAGCACTTTTAAAAACAATGCCAGACTGACAAATGTGTACAAATACAACCCTCCGATAAGTATAACTTATGAATATCACTAAAATAAATGTCATTCACTTTAGGATGGCAGAGCCTCGATTTAACAACCCGTATTTCTGGCCGCCGCCACCGTCAATGCCAGGCCAGGTAAGTCCACTCGTACCATCTAATTACTGTGACATTTCCACCCATCATTGCCATTTGTTTCCATGTGTGAATGTCTTTTGAGCCATTCAGCACCAGTCCGTCTCTAAAACAAACTCTCTTGCTGGAAAAAAAAGAAAGAAAGAATCCGTCACAGCTCATTCAAACGTTAAACCCGTACTGCGTGCTGGTCAGTGTTTCCTGTTTTTGTTGGGGGCGTGAACGACATTCACACACGGTGGCTGTTTTCTGTTGAGCATGACCCGTTAACCCTTTCAGCTGGATAACCTGGTCCTCATTAACAAGATCAAGGAGCAACTGATGGCTGAGAAGATTCGACCCCTGCACCTGCCGCCTACCTCCACCCCTTCTCAGCAGCCTCTACTGGTGCCCACCTCCACTCCGGACGGCGGCGCCCAGCACGGCATGCCGGTGCCGAAGCCTCAGCCGCAGCAGGTGCCGGGCCACCACCCGCAGCCGCAGGGCTCCGGACAGCCCGACATCGCTCTGCACGCTCGACCCGCCTCCGGTTCTGGACCAGGTACAGCTTTTAATTCACACTGGACCACAATGCTTGCGGAGACCAGACCCAAAGCGAAGGGGTGTAATTCTAAACACACTGGAAAAGTGGAACGCCATCCTGCACACTTAGTCCATAAGCCACAATTTAAGTTTTTAGCAAAGGTCCAAGTTGAATTTACTTCTGAACCGTGGCTTGGGGGTTCGGTTTGCAGCTCTCTTTTCTGTTGCAGATTTAAGATATTTTTTGTTTTAAATCGAAACCTCTTTGTAATTTTAAACTATATTTCCCCTGAAAACAAATCCTCGTAAGGCTGCTTGTGTAAAGAGAACTTTAGCTATCGATGGATTGAGAAGCTGTTTGTTAAATGAACGAGTCTTGTAAAAAATTTTTAAAAGTTGGTCTTGAAACTCTAAAACTTCAACATCAGTAACAAACTCAGACTGTTCGAGCATCTCTTCGGTGAAGTTGATGAACTATGTGACTGATGTGAGGAGCTCAGATTTTGCAGTTTGATGCAACAAATTCTTCCACATGCCTGTGTCGTGACGCACCGATTGAAATGTCATCACCTCATGAATTCCAGATGGAAATATGGACGACAAGTCGGCAGTGAAGGCCAAAGGATTGTGGGAAGACTGGCACATGAGACAGCTCGCTGAGCAACCTGGCCGGATCAACCATCGCTCAGGTACTGCCGTCTGCTGACATGGGGGGGAAAAAATGAGCAAGACAGTCAGACTGTAGCGGTGTTTAAATGGACAGCAGTCTTAGAACTTGTCGTCTGACTCACAAAACCTGCTGGTGGCTGTTTAAAGGCATATTCTCTTTAAAAAATCACCAGAAATGACACAATTTATCAAAGCGATAAATGAAAACATAGAAAATACTGTCGGATTTTCAATTACTCATCTGTGATGTGTGGTTCCATCAGAAAACAGTCAAATCTAAGCTTGGAATTATCATCGAAATCACTTTATTTGACATGTCTTGTTAAAAAAAAATGTGAGAAATGAATTGTTTTAGCCACCTGGATTCTGTAAAAAATAAAATAGAATAATGCTCCCCACTGCAAAACCCCATAGTCATGAGTGACTCAGCTGCAATCAACAGTCATGTGACAAAAACTCAGGGAGTTCTGCAGACTGTGATTGTGCATGAAGCAAGTGTAGAAACACATTTAAACTGTAAGAAGCAAATTGTTCATAATATGTAGAACCACTGTTTTTTATGTGATGTTCTGGTATTGGTAGCACCTGTGGGAAAATAGAAATCCATCTTTCAGCGTTTATGGCATTATAACTCAGTTTTGCAGCACAAAAGACATTTCACTTCTCTCTCCTTGTCGCCATGGTTGCGCTGTTTCCATAGAGCTGCAGGACTTGCAGTGAAAAATGAGCCCACAGTGAGTAAAAATGTGATGACAGTAAAAAACCGGCCACATATTAACGGTACTGTGAGGAACATGCAATTGCCTCCTGAACTGTCTACACACTCAGCGTATGACGGGGCTGCATGCTTGTCAAAAGGGAAAACACCCGTCTGGCGTGTTGAGTTTATGAGGAAAAGGGGAGAATTTCTGACAGTTTCTGTTGCAGAAAATGCAACAGTCAAATTTACTTTGCCTCAGCCAAGTGTGCCAAGGGTTTTTTTATTCGTTACGGAACTTTTTCTGTCAATTTTCTGTCACTGTGATTGACCTTCAGGAGAGACGGTCTGTGCGCTGTTGTCCACTGGCTTTTTGAGTTTGTCCGTTCATTATGACAGATTTCGTGGCTCAAGCGAGTTTCAATATTATACTAATATAAGGAAATAAATGGAAGCTGGCAACTGCCTGGAACAGTAGGGAGTATACACTGGAAAAGATCAAACTGAGCGTCATGTATGCAAATGCACTGTTTTGGTCCTCTCTTATAATATCATGTCTTTATTTGCAGTCCCCATCTGTGCAAAAGAGCAGCAAAAAGAGCTTAAAAATACCACGTAAAAGCTATATAAAAATAATAATGGGTAATCATTCCTTCAAAACTGCACTAATAACATCAAAACATATTGCATGGAAAGTGTATGTCAAATCAACAGTCAGCTGTGTTTAGTATAGAAATGGCTCTGGGGTAAAAAATAGTTTCTAGGCGTATGTGTTGATGTAGTCCTGGTTCCCACCTCCACAGGTCTGGCTCCCTCATCTAGACCCGACAGCCACAGCACCTCAGAGGCCCTGACCCCCACGACTCCAACGTCCAGCAGCCAGAACCGCCTGGGCGGCGCCCCGTCTGTGAACATCATCTCGGGCCTGGCCAGCGGCCCCGGCATGGACCACATGAAGGTCGGAGGCCTGGCAGGACTGTTGGGCCCCCCACCAAAGGCACCTCGGGGAAGGAAGAAGATCAAAGCTGAAAACACATCTGGTCCTCTGCTAGTGGTGCCCTACCCCATCCTAGCTGACCAAGGCTGCGTCACCGTTGCACCCAAAGAGGGCAAAACCTACAGGTTTGGACACAGGAACCCGCTGCTGTTGCTCTAAAGCTTTTAGTGCACCCACATCGGGGAGGATGTTTGATTTTTTTAGTGCTGATCTTGCAAAGCCGATTGGCAGATTTAATTATGGTCTGCGAGGAATCAATAGCTATTTGCTTGAGACATGTTTGGCTACAAGTGTACATTACTGAGATGTGCTTCTCACTGGGACTTTAATATGAACACGTCTTTATCCTGAATCGATGAAAGCTCAGGAAGAGAGAAGTTTGACGCTTGAACTCAGACGATGAGCAGCGTCTTTATAGAGTGTAGTCATAGATGAAGGTAGGAGACATGACAGTTGATGTAGAGGTAGTGGATGGACGGTGGAAACTTGGATGAAATGGACAAAAATGGACAAAATTCCAACGAACAAAAATGACAAAATGGGAATAAAAGCATAACATAAAGGAACACACGTCATTTTGAGCTTTAATCACTGGACTGTCAGTTATTATTGTCCTATTATCATCTGGAAAAACCCGTTCCTCTTTTTCTTACTCCAGTTCGGTTTCTTATATCAGGAAATTTCCGAGGCAGTAAGTTAGATTATGATCTGAAAGGTCTGACTTGTAGCTGTCATACTCCATCCATTCTCAGTAGTTTCTTTTCACAGCTTGCAAGACTTATAGGAGTTCATGAAATACGTATACTGGTGTTGTGCCGTATCATTTCTTTCAGGTTCTACTTCTACACAAACTTGTGCTTCACTTCTCCAAAACTGTCTGATCTGACTATTTTCTTGCATTTTTCTGCCCCTTTCTTGCCCCCCAAAGATGCAAAGTCTGCCCGCTCACCTTCCTAACCAAGTCAGAGATGCAGATTCATTCCAAGTCCCACACAGAGGCCAAACCACACAAGTGTCCCCACTGCTCCAAGACGTTCGCCAACGCCTCCTACCTGTCCCAGCACTTGCGCATCCACCTGGGGATCAAACCCTACCACTGCTCCTACTGCGAGAACTCGTTTCGTCAGCTGTCACACCTGCAGCAGCATACCAGGTTGGTGGAAGTAAAAAAAAATAATAATAATCCAACATGGAGCTACTGCTGACCCACTGCCTGTACTGTTTAGATACTATACATGGAGATCTGGAGTCTGACTGTCACAGATTATAGAAATGTGCAGCTTATTTCCAATAACAGAAAACAGGAAAAAACAAGAAAATGTTAATTTTTTTTTGCTTGATAAATGATCCAAGAGTAAAGAGAATGTTTGCTGTCTGTTGTTTTAGCTCTTGATATAGAAGCCAGGTCAGTTTTATTTGCACAAAAATCCATAAATTGTCATACATATACTGGAATCAGGCTCATATTTATACATATATATGTGTCACAGTCCAAATTCAAATCCAGGCGAATTTTAAATCTGCCTGGGCGAGATTAAAATTTTAATGTCATCTAGGCAAGATTGAAAATTTTTATTTGGTCTAGGCAAAATTGTAAATCTTTGATTTGATTTTGCCTAGTCCAAACTAAAATCCTTCTGATATCATAATGAGATTGTAATCCTGCCTGGGCAATTTTTAAATCTGCCTTGGCAGAATTAAAATTTTGATTTCCTCCAGACCAAATTGAAATCATCCTTATAACAAATAGAGACTGTAAGCCTGCCGAGGCAGAGTTAACATTTGACCACAACAAATTAAATATCTGGAATAGATTTAATTTTTGTATAGCTGTTAAGGAAACGACATACATAACAAACATATATGGATATTCATTGAATATTTCATTTTATTTCATTTATCATATACATACATAAAAATGTGGAACAAATAACAGTAAGTTGACAATTCTTAGTATTTTATAACATCATGTTAATTTAACCACAAACTGGTTTATTTCACTACATTCTGGCTACTGCCTTTTGAGATGTTTTGAACTAATTAACTACTAAATGTTAATTGTTTCGAAACATAAAATGTGTGATACAGAGTCTCTATTTGGTCTGGAGGAAATCAACATTTTAGTTCTGCCTAGACAGATGTAAAATTTATCCAGGCAGGATTATATTATGATATTAGAAGGATTTTAATTTGGTCTAGGCCAAATCAACATTTTAGTTCTGTCCAGGCAGATTTAAAATCTGCCGAGACTAAATTAAAGTTTTAATCTCCCCTAGTCAGATGTAAAAACCACCTGGATTTTAATTTGGACTGTGACATACATATATATAGAAAGTTCCATGTTTAGACTTTCAGAGAATTTCCCTCCTAACATCCTTTTTATTTGATGGCTCCGATCACATTGTGGTTTCTCTTATTTTACAACAAATACATGATTGTGATAAAGATGGAGTTTATACGTTAGTAAAATCTGCTCTGAATACACTTTAAGCTTGTTTTCAGCACTTCAGGTTATTGATTGTCATCTTTGTATTTAACCGTGCTTTTAATCTGCTTCTTTTGCCACAGAATCCACACTGGCGATAGGCCTTATAAATGTGCTCACCCTGGATGTGAAAAGGCTTTTACCCAGCTGTCCAACCTCCAGGTCAGCCATGAATATGGAGTTAAAACCTGAAAGAGATGAACTGCTTCAATTGACTGCAATCATTCAAACCATTCACATCTTTTCTGTCTCTGTTTCTTCCCCCGACAGTCTCACCAGAGGCAGCACAATAAAGACAAGCCGTACAAATGTCCTAACTGCTACCGTGCCTACTCAGACTCTGCATCATTGCAGATCCACTTGTCAGCGCATGCCATCAAAAACGCTAAGGCCTACTGCTGTAGCATGTGTGGCCGGGCATACACCTCCGTGAGTACACCATACGTTATCTGTTAGCCATCTGAGAATGTCACAGACTTTCCCAGTAGTGTGCCTTCAGAGAGACTGTATATGTGGCTGATTAGATGGTGGCATTTGATAATATTCTTTCTCCCTTGAACTAGAAGTAGTCGTGTTTCCTGTTTGCGATTTTCAAACAGTGCAGCCTGCTCTTGTTCTCTGTAAAACACCCAGAAAAGAGGTGTTTTTTTCTCTTCTTAATAGAGTCTCATTTTGGCACACAAGTGTTTACCAGTAGAAGTTCAATGATTGTTGACTTGTTAAACAGGTTTAGTGTCCGTTTAGCGTCTTACCCCAGACGTGCATTCCGCACAACTTACTAATTAAATGATCCTGAAGAAACGCTCCCTCATTTTTATGTACAGCAAAATGACATGAAACTTGATTTCGAGGTTGTTTTCTAGTTAAATCAAAATGTTCACATCAGCTCAAATAGCTTCTGAGTTAAAAAGGGTTTGAAAAAAATAAATAAATAATTCAACCACAATCGCTGATAAAGCCTGTGGTTCAATCTGCTGTGTGCTGGCAGTATTTTCATTTCCACTGCTGTGTTTTCATGTCTTTGCAGGAGACCTACCTTATGAAGCACATGTCCAAACACACGGTGGTGGAGCACCTAGTGAGCCACCAGTCGCCCCAGAGGACCGAGTCCCCCAGCATCCCCATACGCATCTCCCTCATCTGAGCTCCCTTGGACGCTCAGCGGCGAAAGTTCAGAGTGTGCGTTCGGCTGGAGCTTGTGAGGCCCTGCACCCACGGCCATCTACATAAGGCTTACATTAGCATTATGACAGCTGACATGAGCATTCAGTGTTAGATTCAGTAAAACAGACTGCCTCCATCCGTCTTGACACGGGCCGTCTGTCAAAAATGAGCACAGCGTTCTTTTTTGAGTTTTTTTTGTTGTTTTGTTGTGAATGTAACAACACAGCTAGATGTTGTCCAGGGGGATCGAGCGGCAAAGAATGTCTTGCGTCAGATTTAATAAGCACTTTCGTAAGCGTCATGTAAACCGCCGGATGCATTGGCCGTTACAAATGTTTTAGTTGTTTTTCTTTTCTTTTCTTCTTCCATGAAATGGGTTTCCAAAATGTGCCAGATGATGTTTGCCCTTATAAAGAAATGAGAAAGTGAAAGAAAAAAAAAAAAAAAACGAACATGTTTGCTGGGTGTATTCTGGAGACATCCAAAGATAATCTTAAAGCACTTTTAGGCCTTGTGGTTTTGGCTCAAATTGTTTCAATCTTGATGGATGGAAAATGCCAAAGGGCATTACTTGTGGCAGCTAAGAGCACTGACTGTGTACAAATAACAGTCTTTTCTGTTACTTTCTTTGTTTTTAACTCACTTTTTTTTTTTTTTGTGCAAGTACAGGGTCATCTAAATTTGAAGTAAGGCAATCGGTAGATGACAATTGAAACATTTCATGATTGTATTAAGAAATTGTGTTCTTGTATTAGGAGGCAAAAAAAAAAAGAGCTACATGGAAGGGAAGAAAGATGAATGTTTGTTTTGTTTTTTTTATTTCCAAAATCTTTCACTCCATATTCACCTTTTTAACGGCACCTTTACGATCATGACATGTGATCGAAGAAACACTGCTTGTTTTCAGTTTTTCTCGCGTCCCAGTAGTTAGTGCCATATACGAACCTTGTCGAGGTTTTAAGAAAAAGCAAATCTTGTAACGGTGTGTGTCTGCTTTCACTATTCAGTTACGCTTTGGACGATTATTTTCGAAGAATTAGAAGTATGTGTTGCAGAGGTTGAACACGTTGCACATGTATCAGTGCCAGCTCTACTCTACTCTACTCAGCCCTTTTATTTTATTTTTTATTTTAAAGACACTTGAGCTGAAATAAAATTTTACTTGAGTGGTAAATTTTAAACCTAACCATTGGACCAAAATGTGAAGTTATTGTACAGCTATTCTAACCCAGTTAAGATTTTTTTTTAATCTTTAATAAGCTTTACCCATTTGGAATAAACTGCAGTATGAGTCATATTCAGTAGGCCTATATTATGAGTTTATGAAGACGTGAATCTTCTCCTTTTTTTTTGTTTTTTTGTTTTTTTTCTCCTTAGTATTCTTTTTATTGTACACAGTATTGTTTGTTGTATTTTTACTGTAACTGTAACCTCTGAATGGTACTAATAGGATACCCTGTATTCTTCAGGGCACTTCAGAAAAGGTGCTACGGCTAGACGTTACGTTTGAGATGGAACTGAGAATAATGTAAAATACATATACAGTATATAGTATGTTTTCAAAAGAATTAAAAACTTATTACTCAAGCCACTGGCCTGAAAACAGACATTTACGCCAACAACAGACCCTGCCTCTTCAACTTACTCTCTCTCTTTTGAGATAATGGGAAAATGTACATGTTGCTATACTGTAAAACATGTTACTCATTTATAGTACCTATTTTTAAGTTTTCATAAACATGTTCTGTTTGGGTTTTGTAAAAGTTTATGTATGGACTTACTGTAATTATTTTAGTCTACCTGTATGTTATTAATATTCATGTTTTATATCAGTTATTTACATGTAAGCCTTAACTGTTTTATCATCCCATTTCCATTACTCTGTATTGTGTTCTGCAGTATTCAGTCGTGTAAACATTTTGATTTTTTTTTTTCCTTCCGCATGGAGTTCCTGAGCTGTAATCTGTATAACTGTTTAACCCATGTTCTCTATGAAAAGATATTGCGTAGATTTATTACACTTTTTCCTGTCTTGCATTGTGGTTTCATATACAGTTTCTAGACGACTAAATATGCACAGCCAAGACTGAGAAGATAAACTAAGGTTATCAATGTTTAAAAAAGGAAAAAAAAGCTTTGTATCTTTACCTTGTTTAATAAACAGACTGTTATAAATTAATC